CCAAAGTGGGAGGATTGCTTGAGCCCAGGAGTTAAAGACCAGCCTGGGCAGCATAGTGAGACCTCGTCTCTACAAAATGTCCAAAAGTTAGCCAGGTGTGGTGGCTCGTGCCTATAGACCCAACTGCTTTATAGGATGACATGGGAAGATCCCTTGAGATCCAGGAGTATAAGGCTTTGGTGAACTGTGTTCTTACCACTGCACTCAAGTCTGGGAGTGACCCCATGTTATTAACCTTGAACCTGCTGTGTTTCCTTGAATTTACACAAAGTCTAGTTAATTCTGATTAGCTTTGCTGGGTGTCATAAACCATGTTATTAACCTTGAAACTGCTGTGTTTCCTTGAGTTCCTCTATGCAGCAGCATGTCACTATCATTTATATTGCATTATTCTTCTAGAAGAGAACCCCACCAATATTATAAAATCTTATGCTTATTTACCTACTATATGTTGTGATTAGTGTAGGGAAGTTTAATTCTTAATAATTAAGATATTAGGCCGAGCATGGTGGCTCACGTGTATTCACTGCACTTTGGGAGGCGGAGGTGAGAGGATTTCCTGAGTCCAAGGGTTTCAAGACCAGCCTGGACAACTTGGCAAGATCTGGTCTCTACAGTAAATGAAAAAATTAAAATTAGCTGGGTGTGGTGATGTATACCTGTAGTACCCAGCTCCTTGGAAGGCTGAGGTGGAAGGATCACTTGAAGCTAGCAGGTTGAGGCTGCTGTGGCCATGAGTGTGCCACTGCACTCCAGCCTGTGTGAAGGAGTGAGACTTCTACTCAAAAAATAATAATAGTAATGAACATATTAATCATCAGTGTTTATTTGCCTTAGTTCTGATGAAATCTTGATTTACTGTTGTATAATGTAGGCTGCCTGGCCATACCCAGGCTTTGTTTGTCTAAAGTTAACATACAAATTAGGCCAAGTGCAGTAGCTCAAACCTGTAATCCCATCTGAGGTGGGTGGATCACTTAAGCCCAGAAGTTTAAGACCAACATAGTGAGACACCTTCTCAACCAAAAAAAAAAAAAAAAAAATTAGCTAGGTATGGTGGCATACCTGTGGTCTTAGCTACTCTTGTGGCTGAGGCTGAAGGATTGCTTGGGGTCCAGGCTACAGTGAGCTGCGATCATACCACTGCATTCCAGTCTGGACAACAAGAGTGAGATGCTAACTCAAAATAAACAAAAAATGAAGTTAATATACAAATTAATATTAGATACGGCCAAATATAGAAGTTTAATGAATCACTTGAAATCTTTTTTTTTTTTTTTTCTGAGTTGGTCTTACTCTGTCGCCCAGACTGGAGTGCAGTGGCCGCTCCTGGCCACCGCAGCCTCAACCTGCTGGGCTCCGGCGATCCTTCCACCCAGCCTTCCAAGTAGCTGGAACTACAGGCGCGCGCTACCACACCCGGCTGATTTTTTTTGATTTATTGTAGAGATGAGGTCTTGCTGCCCAGGCAGGTCTCAAACCCACAGGCTCAGGCAATCCACTCACCTCAGCCTCCCAAGGTGCAGGATTACAGGCTGAGCCACCAAGCCCGGCTTGAAATCTTTAAATTGGAAACTGCTTTTATATTTTCTGGTGAATGTTTTTCAGTGTCCTTTTCCTCCGTAAATGTGTCTTCTTTCTGTTCCATAAAAGATAAAGCTACACTGAAAACCAAATGGCTCATGGGTGCTTTGGATTTACCTTAATGAATTTCAGTGTAGTATATTTTTAGCAAAGCAATGTAAATAGCCTCCTCCTTGCCCTAGAGCTTTTCATAAATGAGCCTTATTCCACTATTTTTGACCATAACATCTTATAGGTAGACTGCATCTAGATATCCACTCTGTGAGAAGTGAGATTCTTTTTTTTTTTTTGAGTTGGAGTCTCACTAAGTCACCCAGGCTGGAGTATAGTAACACACTCATGGTCACTGTGGCCTCGACCTGCTGGGCTCAGGCGATCCTTCCACCTTAGCCTTCCAAGTAACTGGAACTACAGACGTGTACCACCATGCCCGGCTAATTTTTTGATTCATTGTAGAGATGAGTTCTCACCAAGTTGCCCAGGCTGGTCTTGAACCCCTGAATTCAGGCAATCCTTTCGCCTTGGCCTCTCAAAGTGCTGGGATTACAGGCTTGAGCCACCGTGCCCGGCGAGCAGTGAGATTTTAAAAGAACAATTTTTAATTTTTTTAGCTTAACAGAGAGGAGTGTTAGGTCTTGCTCTGTAGCCCAGGCTGGATTCGAACTCCTGGGCACAAGTGATCCTCCCACTTCAGCCTCTCGAGTGGCTGGGAATATAGGCATGTGCCTCCATGCATGACCTGGAAAGTGAGATTTTATTTTGACTGAGTTTGTAAAGCTCTTGCATTCCTGGTATCTCACCAGGATAGCTAGTAAAATAGAAAGAACTAGACTTGAGCTGTGGCTCTGGCCTGGCCACTAGCAGTATGATCTTGGGCAAGTCAGTTCCTGCCTGGGTTTCACTACCTTTAATGAGGAAGTTGAAATAGATGATTTCTCATGTCTCTTCTACTCCTAAATTCTATGATTTTAGGGAGAAAATTCCCTTCAGCATTCCTGGGATATATATCTAATTGTCCCATTTATTGTGACACTTCCCTATTGACGATAAAGAGGGATGGGGAAGGCTACAAGTAAGTATATCCTCCTATTTTCTCTAATTTTTAAAGGTTTTTCCAGCACAGATTGGAGAGTAATCAGTGATGACTTTTGCAAAATTAGAGGAAAGCTGATCCTGTACTACAGCTACATTTTCTTAACTTGGACTTCAGCAACAGCAATTTCAAAGTCTGCATTTTCAAACATCTCTTTTTTAAAATCTGAATAATTTACTTTGCAGATTTATCTTCCTAAGTTTCTTCCTTTTCTCATCACAAAACTAAAAATTGCTTTCCCTAACAGTTTACATAAAGGTATGAAGGAATGATAGAATTGACAATTAGCACCTTATAAGTGGATTTTTAAGAATTAGTGACCCAAATTAATGAGTAGGATTTTTGTGTTTTGAATGAATACTGGGTCATCTCCATTCACTTTATCTAGTTCACTAAAAAAGTAAAGTACATGGAATCGTTGCAAATACTCCTTATTTACTCCTACACTTCGAAAGAAAAAAGACTTCGTGTATATGTTGAAACTATGAATGTTTGAAATAAAAAATTCTAAGCTGCAGATTCAGGTGACTGAATTTTTCATTGAGTTGATATAATTTTCTTCATTTACTCATCCATAAATCTGAACCCAGAGGACAAAACATAGTATAACACAGCTTGGGAAACTGCTGACTGTGAGGTTCCTAAATTTATCTTTTCATGGAAGTCATTTCTGAATTGAGTTGTTTACATCAATGCAGAATCAATGCCTGGGGTCAAATTTTTGTTAGAGAAGGAGCCTGTCCAATGCTGTTTGAAACCACTTTCCATGTTATTTTACACACTCCTGCGGTTCCTATAGATGTTTGTCTTAATGATCAGTTGAACATTTCTGTGACTGGGGAATTTTTACTTTTTCTGACTCCTATCTGTTTTTATAGGTTCTCTTTGTAAAGATTCCTTTTCTGGTCAAGTTTCTTCTTCATCACTCATGCCACTTACTCCGTTCTGGACCCTTCTTCAGTCAAACGTTCCTGTGCTTCAACCTCCATTACCCTTGGAAATGCCACCACCCCCACCACCACCCCCAGACTCACCTCCACCTCCTCCCCCACCACCTCCTCCTGTGGAAGATGGTGAGATCCAGGAGGTAGAGATGGAGGATGAGGGAAGCGAGGAGCCTCCTGCTCCAGGAACAGAGGAGGATACCCCTTTGAAACCTTCAGCACAAACCACAGTTGTAACTAGCCAGGTAAGTAATGCCCTTCAGCATTATGAATAGTTTGGGGATGGAGCATGATTGACACTGTGATTGATTTTAGAAGAGTATATTTAACCAAGGCCTTTAGCCACTGACCAGAATGTTTGTGTTTCAGAGTTCAGTTGATTCTACCATCTCTAGTTCTCCTTCTTCTAAAGCGATAAAGAGGAAAGCTACAGAAATTAGTACTGCAGTGGTTCAGAGGTCAGCTACCATTGGTAGTTCTCCAGTTCTCTACAGCCAGTCAGCTATGGCTACAGGTAAACATCAGCATTAAAGTGAGGTTTTTCTCAGGGTATTGTTTCCTTTGTTTCCAGTATTAGATGCCAAAAACTGAAGAACTTAAAGACTTTCGATTGCAAAGACTGTTTATGTGAATTTTTTTTGTTATTTAAAAACTTCTGTTAAGAGTAGCATGTGGCCAGATGTGGTGGCTCATGCCTGTAATCCCAGCACTTTGGGAGGCAGAGGCGAGAGGATGGCTTAAGCCCATTGGTTCGAGACCAGCCTGGGCAACATGGTGAGACCTTGTCTCTACAATAAATAAAAAAAATTAGCCAGATGTGGTGGTGCAGTAGTTCCAGCTACTTGGAAGAATCACCTGAGTTCAGCAGGTCGAGGCTGCGTTGGCTGTGAGCGTGCCACTGCACTCCAACCTGGGTGACAGAGTGAGACTCCAGCTCAAAAAAAAAAAAAGAGGA